ATTTTCAAAAATGGCATTTTTTTCAAAAATTTCAAAATTCTCAATAAGTTCAAAGTTTTTTAAAAATTTAAATTTTTACGGGAATTTCCATCAATTTGCCCTCAGACACGATGTCATGGAGGAAAGTCCAAACTTATCTTCTTAACCCACCACTAGTTACATAATTTGTTTGTCTCTAAACAGGAAGTCGGTATGTATTTCCCAATCAATAAAAATGTTTTAAACCGGTAACGAGAATTCGAAGTGAATTTGAAAAAAGAATTCCCAAGCGCTTCGACTACTTCTTATTACTATACTACTAGTACGTTATATCACTTCACTAACCTTTCGCAACGTGACAGCTATGGAGCACCAGCAGCAATAAGAACACACAATGGGGACGGGCTCTCACTGAATTCATTTTGCACTTGATTTGATAATTAATTATTATAAAACATTAGTAAAACTATTTAGAAATAGCCTTTAATAATAATACTAATAAGATATGAACGAAACAAGTCGATTGGTTTCATTCAATGTTGCACTTGCGTTCACTGGATGCTGTGTGAAACCTGTTGAAACAAAGTGTTATGGAACAATTAGTGATCATGCATTGAGAAATTGTATTGGAAAATTTCTACACCCCAAAATTAACCCAGTTACACCGTTTAAAAGGTTAGTCGGATTATCATATTTTAATTGTTATATACTAGATGAATGCTATAGCATCCATGTCAAGTATTACGCTTCTATTTTACGTTATGTACTTGCCCAAGCTGGCTAGTGACTACGAGAGAAGATAAGATAATATGAAAATACTATTATCATATTTAATCGTTTTGAATGCTATAGCATCTACGTCAAGTTTAACTCTACTACTTTGCCTAAGATAATTAGTGACTACGCGAAAAGATAACACGAAAATATTTATATTATATTTTAATCGTCATACACTAGATGAGTGCTATAACATCCACGTCAACTTTTACTCTACTATTTTACGCAATTTGTTTGCCCAAAGTAATTACACTCTGGAAAAATATAAGATAATACGAAAATACTATTATCATATTTTATTAGTTATGTACTAGATGAATTCTATAGCATCCACGTCAAGTATTACGGTTCTGTTTTACGCCCAAGACAATTAGTGAGTTCGGAAAAAATAAAATAATACAAAAATTCTATTATCATTTTAATCGTTATATACTAGTTTAAACAACGTTTATAAGTGTAATCAGATTTCATATTTTGATCGTTATATACTAGATGAATGCTATAGCATCCACGTTAAATATTACGCTATGTCCTTGCCCAAGGTAAATAGTGACTACGAGAAAAGATAATACAAAAATACTATTATCATATTTCAATCGTTAAATACTAGATGGATGCTATAGCATTCACGACAAGTTTCACGCTTCTATTTTACGCGCTAGCCAAAGATGCGGGAAAAGATAATACGAAAATTTTTAAAGGCTCAGTTAGCCATCACTTGACATGTATAATAATTACAAAATTTTAAGATCATATATATATTAAATTTTTAATCAATTTTTTGCAAAAACGAGTTATTTTGTAATTTGAATCAATTAATATCAAAATAGGTATCAAAAAAAATTTAAAAATTAAATAAACAAAAATTTAAAAAAATTAGTAAAAAATTCAAAGTTTCCAAAGTAGTATGTTTTTAAGTTAGTATTTTCAGAAAAGCCAATTTTTTCAATATTCAAATTTTCAAAATGTTGTCAAAACTTTCAAAAATGTCAAAAAAAATTTTAAATTCACAAAAAAAAATCTAATTTACTTTTCTGAACTTTTGCAAGTTTTAAATTACACTACAGGTAGTTTCAGCAATTTGCAGTTCCAGTTTTTAAATTGTTTGTGATATCCGGAATTTGATTAATCACCGTTTATAAGGGTAGTCAAATTATAAATGCTATAGCATCCACGTCAAGCTTTACTCTACTATTTTATTTAAGCAATGTAGTTGCTCAAGATAATTAGTGACCACGGGAATAGATAAGATAATACGAAAAACACTTTTATTATATTTTAATCGTTATGGATGTTATAGCATCCACGTCAAGTATTACTTCACTATTTTACGCAATATGCTCGACTAAACTAATTAGTGACTACGGGAAAATACCTAAAGAATCAGTGAGTCATTACCTTAGGTTATATGAAATTAAATTCAAAATAATGGACTTAAATGCTATAGCATCCATGACATTCTGCATCTTAATGAAAATAGATGCTATAGCATACATTCTCGCAAACGTGTTAAAAAAATCTGATTTTTAAAATGTATCAATTATCTCAGTCAGTAGCGTGCCAGATTTATAAGCTAGTGATCCTCGGTTCGATTCCTGGCGATGACATAAAATTTGAAATGTTGAGTTAAAATCAAATAGAATTTGAAATTGCATAGAAATAGAAGAATGAAGTTGAATTTAAAAAAAGTTAATTTGAAATTAAATAGAATTTGAATTGTTGAGTTGAATTTGAATTTAAATTTAAAAATTGGAAGTAAAAACAAAAGCTTGATTAGAATTAGAGAAGATCAGATTGAGAAAAAAACGATGAATAAATTGGTTAGAATAGGATTTTTAGATAGTAAAGAAAATAAAAATGAAATTTTGTATGTGACCAAATGTTCTAATAACAAATGCCAATAATCTATGCCAAATGTATCAAGAATTTTAAAAATTTTATAGTATTTCCAACGGGTATTATAAAATCATAATATACATAACCAAAATGAAATGTTACACTCAATAAATTTTTATTGGCTACTTAATAGTCAGCACATCTTTCTCAATAAAAAAAAATTATTTGCGTTTGCTCAACAAAAATACTTGATTGCATATATAAATAGATATAATAATGAGTTAATAGCACTAATAATACTACTAAAATTGATGTACTTAAATAAATTGTTACTGGTAATGTTAAATACAAGGTGGACCTTTTAAAGTGATATTTATTCTTGAAAAAAATGTATGAAAAAACTATATGACAAAATAATACATGAAAAAATTATTTATTTTTATTTCGAATATAATTTATTTCATTCAGTTTGGGGAGATATATTACAGCTATTTGAAATAAATAAATAAATATTAATGTTTTTTCATTTAATTTTCAGAAACAAATGCTTTCACTGCGAATCACACACCATGTATTTACTAATGCCAGTAACATTTACTGTTATTAATTAAATAAATAAATTTTTTCTTATTGAAAAAAGTTATGTCAAATATACTAAAAATTGAGTTGATAATTTTTATGAATTAATTATGAAACCGACTTTAACTTACGTTCATTACATTTGTCATGAAAAACACTTCTCAATTGTTTTACAGTTAATAAGTGATAAAAAACTATAATATTACTAGATAAATATTTAAATTACTAAGTTAATAAATTAAAAATAAAAAGCACAAATTATAACGCAAAACACAAATTATAAAATTGTTAAAATGCTGTTAATTCATATATTTGGATGAGATGACAATTAAATGGTGCATAAGTAATAATTCAACAAATTGTTTATTAACATCAGAAATCAATTTTTATTAATTGTGGTTATAATTTATGATGATAATAATACAGTAATAATATATATAATAGTATAAAATGTTATAGCAAATTTTATTAGTAATTTTTCCAAGATATGGATTAAACATAAAAAATGGAGAAGATGTCATAGTAATTTAATTTAAAAAAAAAACTTGTAAAAAGAAATCTGGATAAGTTTTCAAAATTCGTTTTGATCACAATAATTAAATGAAAATCAGTTTCATAGGAAGAAGGAAATAATTTTTGTCATCTGGCAAATTAATGTGTTATTTCCAATATGTAAATTATATAATATATCAGTGTTGACAATGACACAACAAAAATAGAATGTTAAAATAAAATAATCCAAAATAAGCTAAAAATTTATAATAGTTAACATTAAAAAAAATAAGTTTTTCGTTTTTCAAATAAAGTAGGTGTGTGAAATTTAATTATTTAAATAAATCATTTAAATTTTTGCAAAATGCGGTTCGTAATACAATATTTTAACTCACACTGCGCTACTGATATGCTTATGAGTAAAAAAACTGAAAATGATATCAATAACTATAATTTTTAATGATAAAAATAGAATATAAAAATGCAATACTCAGAAATATTTTAAAAATATGTTAATCCAATCAGATTACAGAATCCTGGTCTTCATAGATCACATCACAACAAAAACTTTTCGATCTAACAAGTGCAAATAAATAAACAAATATTCGAAATAGTTAGATATTCACGTATCGACTTTCAAACGAACACTGAGGTGTAGGCATGTTGTCTGTTAATAAATCGGCGGCTAATAATATTCCAAAGAATGAATGAACGGAAAAAGTGCTACCGACTCAGTAGAGTAAAGTGTTAGTTTGTGTGGTTAGATATGTTTGTGTGAATTTCCTGCATTTAGAACGGAATAACATTGTTGTCTGATATATTGGCTGGGTGAAAGGGTACAGTGGTACGGAACTGCGGAAAGGAAAACTTGCTGGTAAGAGGTGGTCGACTGGGAGTAGTAAATTTTATTGACTTTCCGAAGATACGAGTTTAATTTGTCGAATTGCTCGTATGTTGAAACAATTTTTTACCTATACATTGAAATGCCATTAGTTCGTTCTAGCACTGTGGTTTTTACTATTTTTATTTACTATTTATTAATTTCATTCGTTCCTGAGCCTTGGTGATATTGTGGAGCAAAGTTAGACATGTTTTGCTGAACAACTCCGATGCTCGTTTTGTTGCAACTTTTTCGTGAAGATTTGTATTCACAAACTTTTAGAGCTTAGAAGGCTTAAAAATTATTGCAAGGATCTTAAACCATTTTTCAACTCCTTTTGTTTAAACACAGTACATCGTTACTATAAATTAATAATGATATATAATTGAGATAACTAACAAATAAAACAATTCACTATTATTATATAGCCAAATTATTTCTATGATAGGAAAAGCATTGTTACAGCTGACGATTTTTTTTATTTTTTCATTTTGCATTAACATTTTTCGAGAAAAACCTTGTGTTTTAAATTTGCTCATATGTCGAAGTGGTTTGCATCTCGAAACACTCGTAGGTCAGGTGACTCATAAGTCGGGGTGCCACTTGATAATGATAATAGAATGAAAACGAATTAAGTTTCTAAAAATAATGTAATTTGACTGTTTCAGAGAACAAAATCATAAAGAAAATTATAAGAAATAATATAAATTAGTGATGCAAATTAGTGGAAGAGGAAATTATGTTTCTAAGAATATGTGTTTTGATTTCCTCGCGTTTCGAGTCCCATTTTGACTTTTTTCATTAGACAAAAGTACAAAAAAGTTTATAAGAGATAATATAAATTAGTGGTGCATGGTATCGTGCCTTAAGTTTAAAGAAATAAAATTTAGTAGTAAAATTAGTAAAATTTTTAAAAGCTTTAAATTTTTTGAAAATTGAAAAAATAGAATTTTTAATTATTTGAGAAAAATTCTCTTTAAAAAATTTGATTTTTTTGTATGTTTTGAACTTCCTTGAAAATGTTGATTTTCTTAACTTTCCGTAGGGTAAATTATAGTAAAGGGCCGAAAATCGAAAATGAACATTTTTGCATATCTTAACGTTTCAGAGATTTTTGAACATTTTGGCATACCTTAGAAAAAATGGATGCGTGTGTGTGTTTTTTTTTGTACACGTTTTTTGGCGCAAGGATCAATCGATTGGATGGTTCAAAAAACATTCAATCATTCAATTCGTAATGATTGGGAAAAGAGGTGATTATTTTTTGGCAGTGGCACGTTTAGCCATTTCGAAGTTACAGAGCTAAATGTACAAAAATGGCAGTTTTTGAGAGAATTAAGCATCCGATCTGAATGATTTAAAAAACTTTCTGCTGGTGTTGACAAAGAAATTGGTTTTGAAAAAAAATATCTCAATTTTATTTTTCAAAAAAAATTCTTTTTGTATATCGAAAATAATTCAGATTATAATTTAAATTTACGCTAAAATTCTAAAGCCTTGCAAATCAGTTTATACAATTCTTATAAATAATAGGCAATGTCACAGTATTTATAATAATCTATTTGAAAACATTTATATTCCTCGAACATTTCATTACGGTACGGGAAGTTCCAGCAATTTGCCTTAAGGCACGATGCCATACACCACTTGTTTTTTTTTAAGCAATCGCACTCCGTAGCTATTTTAAAGACAAATTTAAATATGGAAGTTCGTGAGCGCTGCGTCGCAATCTAGCAATTAAACATTATAAATCTTGGCATGAAACCCATAGAGATGTAATAAAATATTTGATAATTTGATGTTCAATGATAATTTTTGACCGTCAAATGGCACTTTTTTTAGTTTTTTCATTACATCTTTAAAACAGCTATAGACTTGTTTTACCAAATATTTTATCAATTTTTCATTTTGTTAATACAAGTGAAATGCTTTTGAATCATTCAAATCGGATGCTGCGATTATAGAATATTCACTTTTCAACCATCAGTCTTGTCCAAATAAACCAATGAAGTCTCATGAGTCTCTAAATAATGTCAAGATCATATTTATCATTTATCGTTCACAGTGGGCAATTTTGTCATCATCTGCACATACCAAGATGTTGTCGGATTGCAGTTTTCTTTGTTCGTTTGTGATATGTGATGTGCAAAGTAAAGAAGTGAAAGCTTAAGTTGAAATGTGATTCACGTGTAACTGATGCACGGTATCGCACTTGTTGACAAACCACTCAAATGCAAATGATAAATTTTTCACTTTTCTACTAATTACAAAGATACGGCTTCAAAAAACCGCCAGACCTATTTCAAAAATTTAAAAGCCATTCGATGTATCTCGATGAGGACTATCGTTTGTCAGTTTTGCGCGACGATCAGCCAAGCCGTTTCTTTGTCAATCGCAGAAAAGTGGAACATTTTTAGTCCACGTTTTAGCCCGCAATTCTGAATCGATTTTGAAAATTCAAAAATCGTTTGAAAGACATCGATTGGGAATCGTGCTGATTGGTTTTTGGTAGAAATCGGCCGGGCCGTTTTTTTGTAATAATGTTTTCGACGATTTTCATGTTTTTTTTGGACGGTGGAGACCATAGTCTTATAGGTCATACTAAAATATTACGGCCCTACCACAAGCCGTTTAATTTTAAAAATTCGTCAAAGTTTGCAAAAATTAGTATCGTTTTTTGGCGTTTGTCAAAATTAGAACTTTCATCGGCTTTTTCTTAAAAATGCCTGTCCGATTTCAGAAATTTAAAAGCCAATCGATGTATTTCTATGTGAATTATCTTTCCTCAGTTTTGTGCAACGATCGGCTGAGCCGTTTCTTTGTAAATAGCAGAAAAGTGATTGAATGTGAAGATTGAAAAAGTGAAAAATTTTTAATGATAAAAAAATAGGACATACAAGCACGTGTTTGTCCAACATAATTTATATGATTACAGATAATTTTTGAATGTGTTTGAGAAAATTCTATTCGAAACCGCAATGATTAGATTTAATTGAAAGCGATAACTTTATTTTTGAAATAAACAGTTGAAAATTTTATCTAAATATCTGAATTTTAAATTCGATTGATTAAGTCAATTCTTACACATTTCGGGAAGTTCATGCAACTTGCCTTAAGGCTAGTTTCAACTCGTTTGAGAAAAAAGTCAACGAAAGATAAAGAAAATCAGCTCACATACATACACATATCTTTCTTCCAAACTTGGTCTCATTAGACTTGAAACTTCGAGAAAATATAAAATTAGCAAATCGGATTTTCTGGCAAAAACCAACTTCCCTTTCGGGAAGTAAAAAACTTTTTAGCAACATTCTCGCGTATCATTCATATATATTTCAAAAATTGCTAATAAAAGTATCGGTGCTTTCGAATCATGAAAGTGGACGATTTATCTTTAAATTATTAGGCGCAACAGGCATTTTGTCTTATACAAAAATTCTTTTATTCAAGCATTAGTGCCATACATTCATACCGTTAAATGGGCTAGTGACTTATTATTATTCCTAAGAATTATTTTACGATTATGTATAGAAACGTGATTGGATTTTATGATGATCCGTTAACTGTTTAATAAACTTATAACGGACCTAAGGCATTGCACGTGTCATCGACAAAGGCCTATGGTGATATTAAAAGATAAAAGGCATTGATGTGGAAATGAAGCAAATGCATTTACATAAAATTAAATGAAATTATTGCAAAAGAAAATTGATGAATGCTGTACTCATGTTCAAGATTTCTACAGAAGTTCCACTTATGGATAAGATTTTGATTATTGTCTTTATTCTACTCACCAAAAGTGAAATTCATAATTTTTTAAATTAATAATTTTTAACTTTCCCAAGGAGTTAGTTTTCGCCAGAAAATTCGATTTGCTAATTTTATGTTTTCTTGTTTCAAGGAATTGAGACCAAATTTGGAAAACGTGTGTGTGTACAATTTTATGACCAAACTTTCAAAAATTCTATGTAATTTTTGGACTAAAAAAATGTGGCATTTCCAAACGTCAACTAAAACAAGAGAATTGACATTTACAAATGAATATTGTTAATATTATTTTAATTATTTTATTTTAATTTATTACCAAGTTTACTTTAATTTAATACTAGTATTTAAAATTGTAAATCATGAGTAGAACGCTGCATATTATAGAGATAGAAGTAAGAATTCATTATTTTTTAACAAAATTTTGTTTAAACTAGTAGCCTTGTGTTTCTTGATAAGTTTTGTTTAACGAATCAATTACGTTAAAATAACACAAATTCAAAATTCTAAAAAATATAAATAAAAATTGTTCGGTACTTTTTTCGACTTCTATATAAATTCACAACTATTATGACATGTCAAAACGAACAGAAATACTGTTTATGAAAGGGGTATGTTATATTTCTTAATTTTTAAACTTCAAATATTTTTGGCGTCTCGTGGGGTGAGTTATAACAGTCCACCAAAAATCAAAAATGAAGTTTTATCGTATCTTTACGTTTTTCGGATCAATCGGATTTGAATTACCAATTTCTGTAGATAGGGATACGTGTCAATTCCTCTTTATAAAAGGCAGGTCCAGCCGTTTCGGAGATACTCACATTATTTTTTTCAGCAAACAAGTTCTTGGTCCGATGTTAGTGTAGACGGTGACGATCTATCATTTTCTTCCAATGAGGTGATACCGATATTGGTTCCTAAGGGAACCAGGTCATCTAAAAAATCTAAAAATTCGGCACCAGTAAAAGTAAGAAGTATTAATAATTTAACTTTTTTTTCACATTTGTAATTTCATTTTTTGTTTTGTTAGCCCAAAGATGAAGTTTACACGAGTTCTTCTCACGTGCGCAGCAATAGCTGTTTTCCTGCGATAAATGATCAAGAACGATTTTGTTATCGTCAAAGTAGGCTGGTAAAATATTTTTAATTGTAATATCATTAATTTTGCTTTTTTCTGCTAGTACAATTTACCAAAATCTGCAATTGTCAGACTTTGTTTATACAAAATGTTCTATCTGGACCAAAGCTAACTCTTAACTTGCTTTAGACTACATCGAACTTGTATTCCCCGATTTTTTTTAAAAAAAACTTTTTTTTTTAAAGTAATATTTTTCAATAATAGTTTTTAGATTCTTCCAAAGTTTGCTTTTGATTTTGCCCATTACCTCAAATCTTTTTTTTACCCAAAAATGAGTGTTCATAAGGTTCACAAGAGATTGAAGTAGAACTTTTTTGCTATTCAAAAGAATAATAAATACAGTTTGTCCTGATGAATTACAATTTAAGTAAGACAGACGTAACCAAATTCATTTCTATTGTCAGTTTTATATCGTAGAGTGACCCCCTGGTCAAGCCTAAAGAAGTTCTACTTAAAAAATCAAGACCAGAGTTAACTTCCAGCTCATTTGCTTCAAACTTGTAGTCACTGGTTCATTCAAGTCTTCAAAACTTTTACCTTCTGGTTTTTCCCAAAATTTGTTTTTTGTAAACTGATTCTTTCAAAAACAGTTTTTAGATTTTTCCAAAGTTTGCTTTTGAATTTGCTCTTTATCTCAAATCTTTTTTACACAAAAAAGAGTACAAGCGGCTGAAGTAGAATTTTTTTTTGCTATTCCAAAAAATCAAAAATATAGATTTTGCTGTACCACTAGTTGCTTCATCTTTATTCAAATAATGCCAATGAGGAATCAGAATGTAAGAAAGTCAGACGTAATAACCTTCTTTCCTATTATTATCAATTTCATATCGTAGAGTTACCCAAGTTACACAGCTACCCCCTGGTCGAGCCTAAAAAGTTCTACTTCAAAAATCAATTCAGAATTGCTTCAAACTTAGTCACTGGTTCATTCAAGTCATCTTTCTGAAACGAAAAAGTTTGTTTTTCGTAAACAAAATTTTTGAACGTGTGATTATTTAAATGTATTTTTTTATCTAGGCAGGAGGAGGAGGAGTCTGTGATACCTGCACTCTGCTGCAGGAGCAGTATGAAAAACGTATGATTAACCTGAAGCAGGAAGTCGCAAGATTGACCGCCGAAAATAGTGAACTACGGTAATCAGTAGTATTTTGCCAGTTGCTATTTCAGTAAACTGTTTATCTTTTTAACTTCCCATAGGGTAGTTATAGTAATGAGCTGAAAATCGAAAATGAAAATTTTTGCATTTCTCGGCATTTTGAAGGTTTCTAAACATTTTGGCATACCTCAGAAAAAATTGATGTGTGTGTAGTGTGTGTTTTGTGTGTCCGCATTTTTTTGTCCACGTTTTCGGACGCATGGATCAACCGATTTGAATGGTTTACAAAACATTCGATCCCTATTGATAGGGAGATGTGCTGATTAGTTCTTGGCAAAGGCAGGTCCAGCCATTAAGGAGATACGGAGCAAAGAGTGCAGAAAATAATCGAGTTTTTGAGAGAACAGAGTATCGGATTTGAATAATCTAAAAAACATTCAATTTGTAATGATTGGGAGAAGAGGTGATTAGTTTTTGGCAAAGACAGGTCCCGCCATTTCGAGGACACAGAGCTAGATGTGCAAAAAATGGCAGTTTTCGAGTGAACTAAGCGTCCGATTTGAATGATCTAAAAACTTTCTGCTTGTATTGACAAAACAATTGCTTTTGAGGATAAAAAATTATTAAATTTATTTTTATTTTCCATAAAATATTTTTGTAATTTTGGATTAAAAATTCAAAAAATTACCCAGGCTAAGCAGAGTTTAAGCGCCACTCTGGTGCAAATGTTTACCCAAGTGCGTTTAGACTGTTTAAATTTTCCAATTTTGTGAAAAAACCATTGAAAAATGTAAAAATGCCGCCAAGCTAAGCACAGTATAAGTGAAAATGTCGCACAGAATTATTTGCAAATGCATGTTTAGACTGTGACTATACGGGAGCACTTTTTAAATTTTGTGTAAATTAGGCAACTATTTTTTTGAAATTGAATTCGAAATGCAATGACGATTGTTGATGTTCTGGGGATAAATTGATTTATGATTTACATTTGTTTCGCTCAGATATAACAAGATAACAAAAATAATGAAAGTTACAGTATTTGTAATAATATATTTGAAAACGTTTAAAATATCTCGAATATTTCATTACGGTACGGGAAGTTGCAGCAATTTGCCTTAAGGCACGATGCCATACACCACTAGTTATAAATAAAATTTGTGTATGCCAAATTAGGACTATCACATTAATTTAATTTTTCACAGATGTGAGTTGAAGACAACCAATGATGATGTGTTGAGAAAAGTAACCGAAACCGGACAAAACATGGATCAACTAACAGAGGGTGTGATGATTTTGAAAGACTCTTTGCTGGTATGTATAGCTCGAATATTTAATTGCGGTACTATAAGTTCCAACAATTTCCTACTAGTTGCATTTTTTCATATAACAGCGTTGTCACTCGGAAATCGCCAGTCAATGGACATTTTCCCTGCACCAAATTGTTGAAAAACTGGAAGTGATCCAGCGCGAAGGATCACGATTAGTGCACAGTATGATCGATCTTGTTACCAGGATAGAGATGTCCAATAGGAGAGAGGTAATGTATATATATAAAATTCATACCTGTTAAAATATATTGAAAATTTTAAAACTTCAATAAAAACTTCAATAAAATTCATACCTGTTAAAATATATTGAAAATTTTAAAACTTTAATATTTTAAATATAAGCTGAGATTTTTAATGTTGCTTATAATCTAAGGTGAATAAAAGTACATAGTGTGAGCTAATAAAATTTGAAATTGATTCAGTAGTTTAGGAGTGCATTACGGACCAACATCGTGACACGTACTATATACTTGATATATTTTTATTACTAGGATTACAAAGATTTCAATCCACTAGGGTTTGTCAATTTCAATCACTAGGGGTAAATACTAGGGTTTGTCGGTTTTCAAAAACCGTTTTTTGGCGAAAATTATCGAATTCAAAAACCGTTTTTTTAGTGAAAAAAGTCAGTTTTCACTGTCTAAATGGAAAATAATAAATATAGCCAAATATAAAAGATAGATGAAAGCGTTTTGATTCTTGAAATCATATCGGTTCATTAGCATTTGGAATCTTATCAGAATGGTTCCCAGAAAGGCTTTGTATATATTAATTTAGGTTTTTGTTCCAGAGTATATATTAACTTAAATCAGTGTGACTTCTTCTTGAAGAAGTAACTTTCTCTATTCAAACTTAAAAAAAGAGTTTTAAACCCTAGAAGCCACAAGTAAAAGAACAAAAAACTTAGAATTATTATATCAGGTTTTAAAAACAATTAATCATAATTTGGTCGCAAGTATGAGAGTATTTTCTATTTTAGGAAATTTTGTGAGGACACGACTAATTAGCAATTTGATACACGTTCTCAGTTTTTCTGAAATCATATTTTATTAAACAAAAAAAAAACAATTAGAATGTTTAAAATTAATTAATTAAAATTGCTCGGAATAAACAATACCCGAGTTTAGCTTAATTGTTTTTAAAACTAAAATTGATATGAATAACGAATAATTATTTTCAAAGTTATTTATCAAAATAAACTATTATTTTTTAGTTCTACTAATTAAAATAAAAATAATTTTGTTTACATTCCATAAAATTGAATAATAAATAAATTCAGTCAAATATTGCTCTAAATCACAATAAATTTGCGGATAAATTACAGAATATTCCAGCAAAAATTTATTTACTATATAAAATTCGAAAACCGGCTAAAACCGGTTTTTTAGTAAAATCAAAATTCGAAAACCGGTTTTCTGAAATGTCGATTTTTGTATAAACCATAGTAAATACTGACTTTTATCTATTTTTTCTATAATTGTCTTCTTCAGGCATGCTCCCGCTCCGTCTCGTATAAATATCAACAGCAAGATGAAACTTCGGAAGACGAACCAGTCCGCCTGAGTGCTGCTGCTGCAGCAGCCATAAATCCACGTTCAGTCGGAAGAAGTGCAATTATGGAAAGAGCTGTAAGGGAAGACGTCATGAAGGAGAGGGACATTAGGAGAATTCGAGCCATTTTGGAGGATTTCAAGCGATTGGGCAATGATTTGAGGATGATGGGAAGGACATTCGAGGACAGAATGGGCAGGACGATGGAGGCTTACAAGTAATAATAATAAATAGTACTTTTCTCGGCCGTTATTTATTAACTTCCCGAAGAAGTTTATGTTTTCATAAAAAAATCCGATTCGCTAATTTTGTTTTCTCGACGTTTCAAGCCATTCTGAATTGAATGAGACCAAATTTTGAAAAAGTATGTGTGCGTGTGTGTGTGAACAGATTTTTTGCCGAAATTCGACGATTTCTCAAAAACGGCTGGACTTATTTCAAAAATTTAAAAGCCATTCGATGTATCACGATGAGGACTAGCGTTTATCAATTTTGCGCGACAATCGGCAGAGCCGTTTCTTTGTAAATAGCAGAAAAGTGAAAAAATTTTTGTTCACGTTTTAGCCCGCAATTCTGAATCGATTTAGAAAATTCAAAAACCGTTCGAAAGGTTTCGTTGGTTGGGGATCGTGCTGATTAGTTTTTGGTAAAGATCGGCCGGGCTGTTTTCTTGTAATAAAGTGTTAAAAAAAAATTCCACGATTTTTATTATTATTTTTTTGACAGTAGATACCATAGTCTTCCAGATCATACTAAAATATTACGGCCCTACGACGACTCGTTTAGCTTTAAAAATTCGTCAAAGTTTGCAAAAATTAGCATCGTTTTTTTGGCATTTGACAAAATTAGACCTTTCATGGAGGATTGCTCAAAAACGCCTGAACCGATTTCAGGGATTTAAAAACCATTTGATGTGTCTTGATGAGAGTTATCGCTTGTCAGTTTTGTGCGACAATCGGCCGAGCCGTTTCTTTGAAATTTGGAAAAAAATGTTAAACTTTTCGGCCACATCTAAGCACAAACTACCGAATCGATTTTAAAAAATCAAAAACTGTTCGAAAGATATTAGTTGGGATTTGGGAATGATACTGATTAGTTTTAGGTGAAAATCTACCGAGCCGTTTTCTTGTAATTCGTTATTGAAAAAAAATTGAGCCGATTTTATGAAACTTTTTTTGATGATATATATCATGGTCTTATACAACTTATTGAAATTGTATAAGGCCTTACGACATGTAGTTTAATTTTAAAAATACATCAAAGTTTGAGAAAATGAGTAGTTTTTTTTTGACGCTTGTTCAAAAATACTCCTTCAGAAAATACTCCGAGTTAACGTCTTCATTCGTTTTCAATTATGTGTGATATTGTAAATCCACTGAGAATACTTTTAATCCCTCATAAATGAATTTATTTTTTATTGATTAAGTCGATTATTTACACACATCTGGAAGTTTATGTAACTTGCCTCAAGGCTAAATACCAATACCAACTAGTTTGTTACTTTATCACTTTATCGTTTTTAGGAAAGTAATGGATAACAAGGAAGAGGACATTAGCTTGATTCGTAACCGTTGCGACAGTTTGATAGAATGCCTTCAGCAAACCCGCATAGCGTTTGGTTTGGGTCCACTGCAAGAGACTGAATCAAAAAGTCAGCAGAGCCAAACCAGTGGACCAAGTCAACTAAGTCAGCAAAGTCAAATAGTTCAACCAAGTCAAAGTACAGAAACAAGAGACACCCAAGGGTTAACTGTAGAAGATGGTGAAGGTGGTGCAGCTGGTGATAATGCAGCTTTGGTACGATCAGCTGACGAAATGACAAAACAGGAGAAGGAAAATGGTAACCATTAATAATCATTAACATACAATATAGTATTGCCTTAATCTATAATATAAAAATGGATCGCAAAATGTGTTGGTAAGCGCATAACCCAACAACGTCTGGACCAATTTGGCCAGTTCTGTTTTAAAATGTTCATTGAAGTTCAAGGATGGTTCTTACGGCGAGAAAAAATCCTAAAAACAGCCCTTTTCTTTTTCTCATAGAAACGTTTTCTAACTAAAACTTTCAATTTGAGCTTTATTGCTATTAAAGTTTATATTAAATTACAAGCACTCACTGTATACTCCTTCTAAACGATTATTCGGATTTTGATAAATCTTCCTGAAGTTTATGGAAATTTTCTAGGATGTATGTGATTATAAAGTACTGGAATGTATGTGCAATATTGTAGAAATAAATGGAAAAGATTGCAAAAAACGACATGTCATTGTTTGCAATGAAAATAAATGTAAACTATCATCTGCCAAAAATTTCAATTTACTTATGACCCTAGAGAATATTAGAATATGCATAATAAATTTATGATTATGAATATGAAAAATGTCTACATTATTATTGCCGAAAAGCAGCTGAGATGTGCGAAAAATTAAAATAATATAAAATACAGTATATGTATGGCAGATTTAATTATACACATATGAACAAAAATGGAAAATTAATTCACTTAAAATGTGAAATTAAGTATTAATCAGCCTACCTTTAATGCGAGGCTTACGAAAAATACTAGCGCACGCCTATTAAATTTTCTATATAGTTTTTTTTTTCAATATATAATTTTTTGCATCTTTTACTAATCTTTCCACAATATTTTTAAAATTCATAAAAAGTTTACTTAGAACAACAAATGGGAAAATAGAGATGAATACATACAATTTGGCCCTCACGATATCGAGTAGGAAAAGTTTAAGATACAATGTTAGATATCTTAAATAATTAAAAATTAAATTAATTGAATCGAATTAATTGAAAGACTTTTATTTCCAATAGAGTGTGGGAATTGAGACTCATCATTTTATTTAAAACAGTTCTACTTTTAACATCACTCATATTATAAATGTATATATGCATTTTGGCGTGAAGTAGTTTAAAAAACAATAATTATTATTTTTAGGTAAACGGTAAATATTAGTATATTATATTAAAAAAAATTGTAGACATGGGTACAGGACAACGTCTGTCGGGTCATCTAGTATATATATATATATATATATATATATATATATATATATATATATATATATATATATATATATTCTTTGATTTTACTCTTATCTTTTCAGAGAACATCAGTACAGAACTAACAGAAAAATTATTAAGCTTGCAGTCATACGTGAAGGTACTCCTAATATAGATAATTTAATATTTATATTACTATTAATAATGAATATTATTATTTTTTTAGGAAATGGAGAGGACAAGAGAGCGAAATTCAAGGAAAAGTGAGAGGAGAATTTCTCGTCTTATGGAACAATTGCAGGCCAAAAGTCACGCCATTGATGTGCATTTGACAATGCAACGGGTGAGTCAATTTTAAAAATATAATAGATACTAGTTGTAAGTGGCATTCTGCATTAAGGCAAGTTGCATGAACTTTGCGATACGTTAATCAATAAGATATTTAGCCAATTAGGTAAAGTGTTCATCTGTCCATTTCGAAAATAAAATTTCTGCTTTACTAAAAAATAATCAATGGTATTTCCAATTGATGTCTTGATTTGTTTACATTTCATTTTTTACACTTTTCTGTCAATCTTAAGAAAACGGCTTCGCTGATAATAGTGCAAAATTAACCGATGCTATTCCTGATCTTGATACTTGATGGCTCTTAAATTTTTAAAATCGGTTCAGCCATTTTTGAGGAAACGTCGAGAAAAGGTCAAACTCATAAATATAATTCAGTTGATGACTAGGCTTTTATCAGATTTGAACTGAATAATTGTTAGATTCATATTGGATTGTTACAAGATAGATTGCTATTAAATTTATAGTAGATTATTTAAGTCTCATAAGATCCAGAATGACTTAAAACCTCGAGAAAACACAAAATTAACAAGACGAATTTTTTTTGGCAAACTTTAACTTTCCGTAGGGTAAGTTATAGTAGTCACCAAAAAAATAAAACTTTATGTTTTAGAGGTTTCTGAACATTAAGAAAAAATGAATGTATGTGTGTGTGTGTTCAGATACAAATTTTCGTCGACGTTTTCGGGAACACGGTTCAACCGATTTCAATGATTAAAAAAACATTCGATTTCTATTGATAAGAAGACGTGCTCATTAGTTTTTGGCAAAGACAGGTCCAACAGTTTCGAAGATACGGGGCAAAAAGTGCCAAAAGCGGTAGCTCAGTTTTTAAGAAACCGGAGCAACCGATTTTAATAATTTAGAAAACAGTTTACTTGTATTGACAAGATGAAGAACTGTTCAAGTTTTTGGCAAGGCAGGTCTAGCGGTTTTGGAGATACAGTAAAAAATGTAAAAAATCTCCAAAATAATTCAAAATATAAAAATCAAATCTTTATTTTTTCAAAGTCTTTTTTCCAAAAATTTAAAATTTTTCAAAAATGGAATTTTTCCAAAGTTTAAATTTTTTTTAATGTTTTAAGAAAAAAGTTAGTACGGGAAGTTTCAGCAGCAATTTGACTTAAGGCACGATGCCATGATTGCCATGCACCACTAGTTCTTTAACAAGTTAATACCCATTGAGTCTATATATTTTATTCCCTTTAGGGAAACATTTTTTTTACACCTAGTTGATTTTTATATTCGGTTTAATATTTTCGTAGGCCGAAATTGTATTCGAACTAAAAGCTGCTCACCAGTCAGAAATTGAACGAATCACGAAAGAGTTGCAAGATAAATATCGTCAATTTTTGCAGGAGTTGAGAGTTCAATCGGAAGAAGAAATCGAACAGCAGGTTAGAAATTATTTGGAAAATTTTTATATGCGTAATCAGGGGTAAGATGGTTGGTTGATATGCAAGATCAGGGGTAAGATGGTTGCTTAAGTCGTACCTCAGATATATTTTGTCCCATTATATGAGAACTATTCAGTTGGGTAAAGAAAACGATTTAACCAGATAAATGTCCATGTTAAATGTTAAATTTGTGACGTCCGAATCGAAGTCATGGCGAGTATATTCGTCAAGCATAGGGTAGTTTGCACTGGTAAGGCATGGGTTTATTTTACAATATTGAAAAATGTTATTACTACATTTTACTTTTTTGTAATAGGTTGATACCATGTACGTATTAAACTAAAGACGGATTGAATTCAATAAAATTTTATACATCTGAATATTCCACTCAACCTTGTTGATATTCGAAAAAGTGTTTATAAAAAGCAAACTATTTACAAAATAATAGTATAAAATGTTCATGCAACTTGCCTTCAGGTAAAAATTCTACTTACAACTACTTATTGTATCTAGTCATTGCTTCTTATATATTTTGTTTGTTTCAAACATTTCAATTTAATAAGAAATGGTCAATTTTTTACACCCATGTACTCGTCATACACAATTTGCGATTTTCCTTGTCCAGTGGCGGATTAAGCTTACTGCCGTCCTAGGCCCTATCTAATAGTACGACTTAAGGAGGCGCCCATTAATCACATGAGATTTTTAGGGGCAGGGGGAGTTGACAAAAAATCACAAATATCACGTGGGAAGGGGGGATCTAGTAGAGGATATTAGGTGTTTTTATTTTTACCTGATTTTTTTAAAAAAAATCAAAAAAAATCCGATTTTTTCGTGAATTCGAAAATTTTTACGAAAAATTTTTTATGGCTAAAAGGGGAGGGGGGCTAATTTTAAATATCACTACGTATCACCAAGGGAAGCAGGGGGCGGGAGTCCCAAAATCCTTAAAAAATCGATCACGTGATTAATGGACGCCTCCTAAGCATCCTTACCCTTTGATAATTATTATATAATTTAAAGTGTAAGGGCTGATACTCAATATTTTTCAGCGAAGAGAAATAAATCATCTCAAGTATCAATTGAGATAAAGACGTAACCGAGAGTAACAACAATCCGAGTTGAAGTCATTTTAACAATCATTGTTTTTCATTTTTTCCAAACAGTTTTTCTGTATACAAAATATATATTCAGTTTATAGTTGTTATTTTTTTGTTTGTGCTTTCATGTTTCATATGGAATCACTTTTCTATAATAATTATAAGGACCTATAATATTTTCTTGGGGGTTTTCTTTTCAAACGGGTTGGCCGATCCTGGTTCGAAACTAATTTATAAAATAGATTTAGAATTTTTTGCTAAAAAGCGGTTTCTTATTTAGTAATGGCCAAAAAATCGAAAATGAAATTGTTTATATATCTTTACGTTTTAGAAGTTTCTGAACATTTTAGCATACCTTAAAAAAATTGATGTATGTTGTGTATATGTGTGTGTGTGTTACAAATTTTCGTCGACGATTTTGTCAACACGGATTAACCAATTTGAGTAATCAAAAAACATTCCTTTTCTACTGATAAGGAGACGTGCTGATTAGTTTTTGGCAAAGGCAGGTCTTGCCGTTTTGGAGATACGGGGCAAAAAGTGCAAAAAATGGTATTTCAGTTTTTGAGATAACAGAGCGTTCGATTTGAATGATTCAAAAAATATTTTACTTGTATTGATGAAATGAAGTAGTGATAAAATTTTGGTAACGGCAGGTCTAGGGTTTCCGGAGATTCAATGAAAAAAGTGAAAAATAATGCCATTTGGCGGTCAAAAATGAGCATTAGACATATGTATATGGTATTATTAGATATTTTATGAGTACAAATGTGTACATTTATATGGGTTTCGTACCAATGTTTACACGTTTTAGACGACTACGCGGCGCTTACGCGCTTTGATAATTCGACTCCAAATCAGCTATGCAGCGATTGCTTAAAAAAGTTCAAAATTTTCAGAAAAGTCAAATTTTTTCAAAAATTTCTTAGAAATTTGATTTTTTCAAGGTTTTGCAAAGTTTTTTTTTTTAATAATTAAGTTTTCGGTACGGAAAGTTCTAGCAATTTGCCTTAAGGCACGACTAGTTTATTTTAGAAAAACGACTCAGATAAAAAAATGGTTTTTAATTGGTAAAAAGGTCAAAAATTGGTTCACACATAATTTCTCCAAATTTGGTGAGTTTTGGCTCAGAATGGCTTCAAACGTCGAGAAAACTTAAAATTATCAAATTGAATTTTTTGGAGGAAAGCAAACTTTGGGAAGTAAATAAGAAACAGAAATTAAGAAAACTATTTTATTTACATATTATATTAAATGCAAATCTGTTTTCATTCAAGATAAAGATATATATATATAAAAAAATAGCAAATTTTTTTCATTATAAATAAATACATCATTTCTATTTTCTTATAAAGAAGTATATCTACAAATAAATGGTTCTATAAAAGTAAAAAATCAACTAATCTCTGAGATACTTGAAAAAACATTATTTTTAATAAATTAATATCATACATAATAGATCATAAAGATAGAATTTCAAATCCATTTTAGATTATAATTATAATATATTATATTATAATTCTTCTTTAGCGAAGAATATTTACCAGGATATACTTTATTTTCAATTGTAACATCTTTACACCTTTCTTGTTCCACTAAAAAGTCTTTTGCAGGCCAAGCTTGAGAACCATCTTTAAACATAAATATAGCCCTGTCATCGCTAACCATATATCTGCAACAAAAGAAAAAGAATTTGTATTATTAACTATCTCAATAATAATTTTCAATTATTATTTTCACCTTTCGGCTTGTATATGACTATTCCACAGACTGCCTTGCCACAATTTAGTGATGGTTTCGGCTTCTTCTTGTGTTGGATTTCCACTGACTTGTACGAATGCCATCAAAGTCTTGCCTTTTTTGGAAGCCTTTAGTATGTTTTCGGGATTGCTCATATCGATGTTGCTTATGTCGATCTTTGGATCAGGTCTGAGATGTTCGGGCAATTCGTCTTCTGGAAGGGGTTCTTCATCTTCCTAAAGGGAAATAGACTTATGATAACAGAAATTAATGTAAGAAAAAAAGTGCTTCTTTTATTTGTAGAATCTTCATTTGAGAACTATGACTAACTGTTTGGGCAAGCCTAGACTTTTTGTCCAATAAAATGTACAGACTTAATCGACTAATATCAAGTGAGGTATCTTTTGGGTTCAATGAGCCATTGTAAGGAAATTTCAATGTATTCTTACTACATTGTGCTCTCAATGGTTTGCTTATTATAAACTGAGCAAAAATAATACATTACTAAAAACAAATCTATTATCCTTACTTCCCATTGATCCAGTAACCTCTCCATGTCGGCATCACTAAAATCCCGAATATCCTTCTGTGCCCATTTTGGTTTTTCGCCTTCTTTCGATTTTTTACTGTGTACTCCACACAGAATTAATAATCCATAAATTAATAATACCTTGTACAAATGCATGATAACTGTAAGTTTAATTTCAAATGTCAAATAGGTTAGAACTGTTCGTGAGTTGTGTTTGACATTATACCGGCCACAGACCACAGAATGTTTTTTGTATAGATGCGCAACCTGGCGTGTTTTCGCCATGGCCTCCATAGAGTACTCAAATGTATTCTCATAAATATTAATAATAACTAGTTGGGCATCGTACCTAAAGATAAATTGCTGGAACTTTCCGTACCGTAATTAAACATTCGAGAAATGAAAGTAATCAATAATTGTTTTGAATAATTTCAAATAGATTATTTATTATAAAACATACTGCAAATTTATATGTGCTTTTAAAATTAGAGGACGAGCGTATTTAACAAACAACTTTGTGTATGTTTTATGAAATTTGTTCATTTTAATTCATTTTTTTTTGATAACTTAGATACTTTTTGAAAATTTAGTTTTTTTTTTGGAAATGAAAAATTTCGAAAATTTTAATATTTTGAAACTTGAATTTTTTTAAAAAAATTTTCAAATTTTCTGTAAAAGCATTTTTTGCACACCGTCTTCTCAAGCAAAAGGTTTCTTGAATTAATCTAATCGGATTATCCGTTCTCTCAAAAACTGCATAACCATTTTTACACCCTTTGCGCTCCATACCTCTGAAACGGCAAAATTGCCTTTTGCAAAAACGCCTCGCGATCCAAAATTTTTTTCCCAAAATTTTTCTCCAAAAATTTTTTGACCAATATTTTTTTGACCAAAATTTTTATTCCCAAATTTTTTGAGCCGAAAATTTTTTGACCAAAATTTTTTTTCCAAAAATTTTTTTGACCAAAATTTTTATTCCCAAATTTTTTTGACCAAAATCTTTTGGGCCAAAATTTTTTTGACCAAAATTTTTTTGACCAAAATTTTATTGACAAACATTTTTTTGACTAAAATTTTTTTTCCCAAATTTTTTTGACCAAAATTTTTTTTCCTAAAATTTTTTTTTCGAAATTTTTTGGGCCAAAATTTTTTTGACCAAATTTTTTTTTTCCAAATTTTTTGGATCAAAATTTTTTGGGCACAAATTTTTTGGACCAAAAATTTTTTGGACCAAAAAATTTTTGACCAAATTTTTTTTCCCGAAATTTTTTTGACTAAAATTTTTTTGACCAAAAATTTTTTTGACCAAAAATTTTTTTGACCAAAATTTATTTGACCTAAATTTTTTGGGCCAAAAATTTTTTGACCAAAATTTTTTTGACCGCTCCATACCTCTGAAACGGCAAAATTGCCTTTTGCAAAAACGCCTCGTGATCGAGTACGACCCGAATCATGAGGGCATTTGCTTGAACCATCTACGTATATTTTAAAATTAAAAATGTTGGTACGGAACTTATGTCTAATGAACATTTTTGACCGCCAAATGGCATTTTTAACTTCTCGTAGGGCAAGTTATAGTAATAGCAAAAAAATCGAAAATGAAAAGTTTTATATCTTCACGTTTCAAAACCTTTTGAACATTTTGGCATACCTTAGAAAAAATTGATGTATGTGTGTGTGTATGTGTGCGTGTGCGGATATAAATTTTTGTCGACGATTTCGGGAACACGGATGAAGCGATTTGAATAATTCAAAAAACATTCGAATTGTATTGATAAGGAGACGTGCTGATTAGTTTTTGGCAAAGCAGGTCTAGCCGTTTCAAAGATATGGGGCAAAAGTGCCAAAACGGTACCTCAGTTTTTAAGAGAACGGAGCGTCCGATTTTAATAATTCAAAAAACATTATACTTGTATTGACAAGATGAAGAATTAATCAAATTTTTATAAGGGCAGGTCTAGCGGTTTCGGAGATCTAACGAAAAAACTAAAAAAACGGCATTTGGCGGTCAAAAATGATCATCAGACATATGCACATCAAATTATCAGATATTTTATAGAGATTTTACAATAAGTATAAATTTTGTTTACATTCCCT